TCTCTCTCTCTCTCTCTCTCTCTCTCTCTCTCTCTCTCTACTTTTTGATTAGTTTTGATAAGGATTTCTCTATCTTGTTGATTTTCTCCAAGAACCAACTCTTTGTCTCATTGGTTCTTTGTATTGTTTTCTTTGTTTCTGTTTTGTTTATTTCAGCCCTCAATTTGATTATCTCCTGTCTTCTACTCCTTTTGGGTGAGTCTGCTTCTTTTTGTTCTAGAGATTTCGGGTGTGCTGTTAAGTCACTAATGTGAACTTTCTCTGTTTTGTTTATGTGGGCACTTAGTGCTATGAACTTTCCTCTTAGCACTGCTTTCATAGTGTCCTATAGGTTTGGATACATTGTGCCTTCATTTTCATTGAATCCAAGGAAGACTTTAATGTCTTTCTTTATTTCTTCCTTGACCCAGGGGTGGTTCAGTAGTTCACTGTTCAATTTCCATGAGTTTGTAGGCTTTCTAAAAGTAGTATTGTTGTTAAATTCTAACTTTAACCCATGGTGATCCAATAAGACACAGGGGGTTACTCCAATTTTTTATATCTGTGGAGGTTTGCTTTATTACTGAGTATGTGATCAATTTTAGAGAAGGTTCTATGAGGTGCTGAGAAGAAGGTATTTTCTTTTGTGTTTGGGTGGAATGTTCTATAGATGTCTGTTAAGTCCATTTGATTCATGACTTCTGTTAGTTCTCTTATTTTTCTGTTATGCTTCTGTCTGGTTGACCTATCCATTGACAAGAGTGGAGTGTTGAAATCGCCTACTATTAGTGTGGGGGGTTTGTTGTGCATTTAAGTTTTAATAATGTTTCTTTTACATATGTGGGTGCTCTTGTATTAGGGGTTTAGATGTTCAGGATTGAGACTACATCTTGATTGTACATCAGGATTATTCCTGTTATGATTAATCTCTTACGATTAATTTTAGTTTGAAATCAATTTTGTTAGATATTTGGATAGCTACATCCACTTGTTTCTTAGGTCTATTTGATTGGAAAACCTTTTCTCAACCCTTTACTCTGAGGTAGTATCTGTCTTTGAGGTTGAGGTGTGTTTCTTGTATACAGCAGAAGGCTGGATCCTGTTTTTCTATCCATTCTCTAAGCTTGTTTCTTTTTATAAGTAAATTGAGTCCATTGATATTAAGCGATATTAATGACCAGTGGTTGTTAATTCTGGTTATTTTGCAGTAGTGGTGTTTATGTGTTATCTGGGTTATGCTGGTGGAGGATTATCAATTGCCTGTGTTTTTGTGGGTGCAGTTGGCTTCCTTGGGTTGGGGTTTTCCTTCCAGTACTTTCTGTAGGGCTAGGTTTGTGAATAGGTATTGTTTAAATCTGTTTTTGTCATGGAATATCTCTATTGATGGTGATTGAAAGCTTTGCTGGGTATAGTAGTCTGGGCTTGCATCCGTGGTCTCTTAGTGTTTGCAGCACATCTATCCAGGAACTTCTGGCTTTCATGTTTTAGATTGAGAAGTCGGGTGTAATTCTGATAGGTTTACCTTTTTATGTTACTTAACCTTTTTCTTTTGCAGCTTTTAATATTCTTTCTTCATTTTGTATGTTTTGTGTTTTTATTATTATGTGGTGAGGGGATTTTTTTTATCCAGTCTATTCGGTGTTCTGTAAGCATCTTGAACCTTCATAGGGATATCCATCTTTAGGTTGGGAAACTTTTCTTCTATGATTTTGCTGAATATATTTTCTGTTCCTTTGAGCTGGAGTTCTTTTCCCTCTTCTACCCCTATTATTCTTAAGTTTGGTCTTTTCATGATGTCCCAGATTTCCTGGAAGTTTTGTGTTATGAATTTGTTGGATTTAATGTTTTCCCTGACCAATGAGTCTATTTCATCTATAGTATCTTCAGCATCTAAGATTCTTTTTTCTATCTCTTGTATTCTTTTGGTTATACTTGTCTCTGTGGTTCCTGTTCATTTATCCAGATTTTCCATATCTAGAATTCTCTCAGTTTGTGTTTTCTTTATTGCCTCTATTTCAGTCTTCAAGTCTTGTAGAGAGCTGCGTGATGCCACACCTTAAAGGTGGCGCTGGTTTCCACCTTCCACCTTCCCAACGGTGAGTGCTCTCAGCTGTGAACAACTCCATATATGGCTAATGCTAAGAATCTGGCTTGCTTCCGCGTTTCTGAACCTATATGCGTTTCCCACATGGCTTGCTGGGGTTGGCTACCCAGAGGTTATTTAAGCTGTAGACTGGCTTTGCCCTGGGGCGAGAGGGGCAAGAGGTGCGAGAGGGGCAAGAGGGGCGAGAGGGTGAGAAGATTATTCAAGGGTCCTGAATAAAACCGCAGTTAGTAGAGTCTGATGTTGCGTCTTCCTTGCTGGCGAGGCAGGCATGACAAAGTCTTGAACTGTTTGCTTCACATGTTTGATTTTTTTGTTTGTTTTCTTAAGTTTCTTTGATGGATTTATTAATTTCTTCCAATTTTTTGTTTGTCTTCTCCATTTCCTTAAGAACATTTTTCATATCCTCTTTAAAGATCTCCATCATTTTTATAAAGTTATGTTTAAAGTCGTTTTCTTCTGCTTCTTTTAGGTTAGGATAATCAAGTCTTCCTCTTGTGTGACCACTGGGTTCTGGTGTTACCATGTTGCTTTTTAGGTTGTTGGAGGAATTTTTGCATTGGCACCTACCCATCTCTTCCTTCAACTGAGGTCAGCAGTATCTTTGCATCTTGGTCCAATCCTTGCAGTGGCTGTCTGAGTGTTTGAGAGTTTTTCTTGGTATGCTCTGTACTGTCAATGTCTGTCTCAGAAAGCCACTGAGGTCTTTATACACCTGCTCTCTTGGTCTTTTCTCCTGGTTTGCTCTCTTGGTGCTCTCTCTCGGTCCCCTCAGTATTATAGCAAGCTCTCAGTTCCTAGGTGGGGTGTGGCTAGTAGCTTGAGGGGTCCAGTGGATGAGTTTGGGTTTTGGCAAGTTTACCCACAGGAAACTTCCTGCTTGCTGGCTAGAAAAGCCAAGGGAGTTGGGTTAGGAGCCCAGGGTTTTGTCCCTCTGTGGAGGTTCTAGAGAGTGGGGTGTTATGACACATAACTGTTCACTTACCTCTTAAGTCCCCTCAGTATTGGAGCAAGACAGGATCTTTCTATATAGCCCTGACTGTCCTGGAATTCACTTTATATAGATCAGACTGGCCTCAAATTCACAGAGACCCATCTGCCTCTGTTTCCTAAGTTCTAGGATGAAAGATGTTTGTCACCACAGCTATTCTTATGTTACCTATGAGAGAGGAACCAGCAAGCATAAAAAAGTCTAAGCTTTTCAAGAAGTCCAACCACAAAGGAAGCAATATACTAGAGAATGCAAAGATTGGGCATGGGCATCACTGGGATAAGGGCATTGTAAAAGGTTTTTAGCAAGGGGAATGATGTGCACATCTGAAACTTATTCTAGATACTGAGTCTAGAGAAAGTGCCACTATGAAGACACGAGTACTGATGGAGTGCAGACCTGCAGCCTAGAGAAGGTGGAGTACAGTCAAGAGCAAGGCAGCTGAGCTGCAAACAGTAGACAGACGTCTACCTCATTTTAAAGATAGAGCTCAATAGTGCTGGAACCAAGCTGGGAGTGGGCTTTAGTTGAGTATCAGGGTAGATGGCCAGAGATGACCACTTAGAAAGAAATTCCTGTTGGGAAGATGAATGGCAGCAGAGATAGTGCTCTGTTCCAATTGGTTGTGGTTCAACGTGTGAGTCCATGACAATTGAAATGTCAGATCATCTGTCAAGTGGAGATTTCTGCAGGACTAGGACCCTTTCTGCCAGAAATCTGGAGCTTAGAGGCAAATCCAGATGTGTCATTTCTATTTAGAAGGGTTCAGGGCACAAATGTTCATCCAGGGAGAGAATTTGCATGGAGAAATGAATAGGCCAGGAGCTGACATTGGGCACACAAACCTGTTAATTTAAAAAAGTATCAGTACCACCAAAATAGATTGAACAGAAGAGGTCAGCCACCAAAAGAAAGGCAGAAGGCCAACAAAGCAACATTGAAGATCAAGTGAGGGCTTAGATGCAATGGTGACGATCAAATCTGACTCCATCAAGGTTACAGGTGACCTGGAAGAGCCCTTTTAGTGTAGTGACAGGGACAGATGCCCCCTTGTTCTCATAACAAGCCAAAACAGGTCTAAAAAGTCCTTCTCAAAGCAAAGATGAAGGACAGAAAATAAAAAATAATTCAGACACACAGGGCTTTGTTGTTTTCGCTGATTGTTTTAAGAGACCTGAATTTTGACCTAGAATTCTGTGAGCCTTTTTATAGTCAAAAAATGTCCAGCAAAGGAATTCTTGCATATAATGAATGGAGCCATATCTTAATTTACAAACAAATCAACTTCACCACAAGTGAGATGATGAAATAAAGGAAAGCTGAGATAGAGGAGAAAGTAACAAGAAAGGGGTAAAGGTGAGTGAGAGAATTTGAGAAGACACCAGAGAAGGAAACAGGGGGACTTGGGAGGAGAGTGCCTGAAAGAAGTCCATCAAATGAGGACAACAACCTCAAAATGTAAGCAATATATATAAGTATCTTGATCAGAGGTAGAAATGTATAGCACAATATGATGAATATATTCTAAAATTGCATCAATATACAAAATATCTTAAACAGAGGTAGAACTATGCCTGAATATAGTATGACAAAATAACTTTGAATACGTACACAAACATTGTAAACAGAAACAGGAGCATATTCGATATAATACATATAATTTAAATTTGTATCAATATACAAGAATCTATATTAATGTAAATTGTCTATAAATAATAGCTCACAAGTAATATTCTAATCTACCTATTTTCCCCTATATTTCCTTTTATTTCAAAAGAGATCTTTGAGTCTACTTCATTTCCACCCCCAAAAATATATCACTTATAACCAACCCCTAATATATGTTCCTAACCTTGAGGACAAATTTTGTTGGGAGAAGGAACATTGTTCTCTTGAATTACTTCCAGCTGTCATGTGGGTGATATTATTTCTATGGGATCCTGTAAAAACTAAAATGATGGTTAAGTTTCAAGATTACTGCATGGTACAATTGTAGATAATCTCTGAGTAGTCAGTAAGGTTTTCCTGAAATTCATATTTGAAGTTCTGGCCAGAACTTTGTAAGAAGGTACATCACCTTAGGTAGCCAAGTTGGAATCATCTTGAGCAGTTTGTAACCCAAAATCTATCTTAAAGTGGTGCTACCAGAATAATGGCATCATATCAAGCATCTGGAAATCATTGTTGTGGGACCCCATCTTCTTCCTCAGTCAGTAGAGCATGAGAATCTTAATCTCTGAGTCATGGGTTCATGCCCCAGGTTGGGTACCAAATTGTAGTTGTACCAAAGAGCTCCACAATAGCCTGGAATGGAGTATAACAAAGGTTTATTTATTTGGGAATAAACTCACAGTAAGGGTAGCAATCCACAGTCCTCTGTGTGTGCTGGGAACTGGAACTGAAACCAGCAGGAAAAAAAGGGGGGAGGGGCCTCACATGCATTTTGTCTGCACTGTGCATGATACCATGCCCAAAGTGGGCCAGAATTTTAAAGGCTATTGGTTGAAGGAGTTCCCACAACAAGGGAGTACCCCCTAGTCCCAGTGTTTCAACCTATTTTGGACAGGGAGCATGAGACAACGTGTCCTTTTCTATAACTACTTTGAGCTGACATTGGGTCATTGTAATCAGGGTCCAAGAAGGCTGAAAGGGTAACTGAAGGTAAGGGGGTAATTCAGGCACTAGGGTATTCTTCAGAAGCATCTGGTTCGCTGACTGCGCTGGAGAGGCAGGGAACATTCTCATAGACTGGACTGGTCCACATCTGCTTTCAGCAAGTCCATGGCTCACAGACTTTTGGAGCAAGTTGTAGTCAGCAGCTGGTGATTAGATGTGTCTGTCAGCCAAGTGGCAACCTGTTGAGAAAAGTTTAAACTAGATAAAATATACGAACCTCAAGGAAAATATTATATTTGAAACTTTTAGACCCATGGTTGTAGTAAGTATGAAAGAGGGGAGTCCCAAGACCAGGAAAGAGAAAAATACCATCCTCAGGAATAGGCAGGTAAGGAAACCTTAGGCTATACTTATCTGGAGTCCTTTTGATCTGTGTGAAATGGATCCAAGTTTTATGACTTCCCAGATTTTCTGAAGCTTACGTGAATTTTTTTATCTTACAGGATGACATAAAAGTTTCAGATACGTTAGCATTACCAGTTGGTACTGAAATCCATATCATAGAAGAAGCAGGTAACAGATATCTGTAAAACAGGAGTGGGCTTATACCTTTGAATCCAAGAAAAACTACAGATTTGGGTTTAAAGCAGGGACATTTTCCTCTGTCCAGAGAACCAGATATGGACTGCACTGAGATGTCTTTTGCCCAATGGGAAGTACTTTAAAGTCTATTAGCTTATCACAACTTTATTAATGTTAAGCTCTGGACTTTTATACCATAGAAGGGGAAAGAAATTTAAAATCTTATATAACTTAAATCATTTACTTATATATTATTATTTAGTTTTTCAAAACAGGTTTCTCTATAGTTCTGGAGCTTGTCCTAGAACTAGTTCTTGTAGACAAGGCTGGCCTCCAACTCAGAGATCTGCCTGCCTTTACCTCCTGAGTGCTGAGATTAAAAGCATGCACCATACTGCCCAACTTTATTTATATATTTTAAATTATTTTTGAGACCCTAAAATTTTATAAACTTTTATATCTTTAGATCTTTATAACTTAAAACATTTTTAAATCCTTAAAACATTTAAAATTCTTAAGACTTTAATCTTTTTGTTTAATTATTTACCAGAGACATAAGCAGTTACTTCTGAGAACAGTCATTTTAAATCATGTTCTAATCATGTTTCCTTAGTGGAAAGTTACATCTGAAACCTGTTTATCTTTTAATATGAAGCTTGTTAGCTAGACAAACCTTTTTTCAACAGGAGACCTACTACTAGAGCTAGAAAAAGCAATTCTTAATTTTTACATATGAAACGAGCCAACAAACTGACTGTAGCCTAGGGAAAAAACGAGGTTGCCTGCTGCTAACCTGACAAAGTTGTAGCTAGTCCAACCATCAACACTATCAGAGATCCAAGAAGGATAAATTACACCTGAGTGCAGACCAAGCAGCTTCCAAATCTATTAAAAATGACAGGGACCAGTCCATACCCAATAAGCCATACCCAGGTCTCCATAGTGTTGGAGGCAAACGAATCAGAACAACATCAGTCTTTGCCAGGCCCAAAAGGTGAAAGTTTTGTTTTGTCTTGTTTTCCTGTGGAAGAGAGACATAGAGAAGACTGACCTTACTTTATCTAGACAGAAATGGTGCAATCAATTCTCCAGTGTCTTGCTGCTTGTTCACAGTCTGGGCCAGATGCTGGTGGCAGGTGTTGCATAGGGGCATCTCGCCCAGTATCAGCATTGTCGTAATCCAGTTGAAGACATCGTGGTATCCATAATCTTCTTTGGAGACCTTGAATCACTGCTAGGATTTGGGACTCTCTGTGTAATATAATAAGTTTTTTAATCAACATTTTAAATTTAAAAATTGCCATATGCCATGTTAAAAAATGCCATATTCTGCAGAACTCTGATATATTTGAGGGTTACTTAGGTGTATCTGAATAGACAAACTTTGTTTTTAGTTTGTTTTAAGTTTAACTATGAACATACACAGGACTCTAAGTAAGGCCTATTCCTGTAGTTAATTATATCAGTACTTAGCATGAATGTAATTAAATAGCTTGATCATTTATAAGGATGATTGACTGTTTACTTATATTCCCTAATATAATTGTAATAGTCTACAATAAGTTAGCAGCGTTTATAAGACTAGGACTTTACATTCCATTCCTGTCAGGTTTAGCCCTAAAACTAATGATGTTGAATTGAAGCTCTTTTAGTATTAAAATAAAACTTTTATATGGCTCAGTTTATCCAAATAGTTTAAGCTTAACAAAATTAACAAAGACAAGGAGACTAGACATATATTCTTAGGCTCGAATAGACCTTGAGTAAGGAGATATGTTGTAAGGAGGCTGCTTGTTGGTTCCCAGCTGCTTAGGCCCAAAATAATCACACAGAAACTGTATTAATTAAATCACTGTTGTCACATTAGCTCTAGCTTATTATTAACTAACTCTTACACACTAATTTAACCCATTCCTATTAATTTGTGTATCACCACGTAGCTGTGACTAAAGTTCTGTCTGGCTCTGGTGGGGCTACATGGCTTCTCCCTAACTCTGCCTCCTTTCTCCCAGGATTCACTTTTGTTTGCCCCACCTGGTTCTGTTCCCCTATAGTTCTTCTATAGGCCAAAAGCATACAGAGGGGAATCCCACATCAGAGAGATATTTAAAAGCCATTGGTTCTCAACTTCTCCAATGTTTTGATCTTTCAATATAGATTTCCCAAGTTGTGGTGACCACACCCCCATTACAAATTTTTTTATTACTGTTTTACACTTACAGTTCTGTCATTGCTATGAATCTTAGTACAAACATCTGACATGCAGGTGGTCCTAAGCTACCTCTGTAAAAAGGGTTTTTTTAACCCCCAAAGGATTGAGACCCATAGGCCTAGAAGCTGCTCCCAGCTCTTTGCTAGACCACTTAGGTCATTGTCTTGCTGCATTACAGAAACAAACATTCCAGTTTCTGGTTAGCATTTGGTGCCTATGGCTGTGACCCTAATTTTTATCTTGTTATTTTGAGTTGCAATATCAACAATATAAAACATTTTATAACCAGTAATGTACCATAGCCTACTACATTTAAATGTTTTTAAAGCTGTTCTTTAAAAATCTTAAAATCTCTCAAATGTCTTTCTGCAATTCAAAAATAAAGTACCTTTTTTTTTTTACTTCAAGAGGGATAAAACATGGCAGAACCACGATCTGTATAAGGCAAAAACCAAGCTCCAATAGTGCAAACAATCCAAAGTTCAATATCTGGCATTTATTGATAATACTTTTAGTTTAGTTTGCTTGTTTGCTTGCTTGCTAGATTGCTTGTTTATTTTTTGAGAGGCTTGGCTCACCTCTTTGGCCCTACCCTCAGCAGCATATACATAGCCTGCCTCCTAGACCTTAGCCTGCTCCATTTCAGTATGGCTGGCATTTCTGGTGACCATCACCTGGCACTGGCATTTCTAAAACTGTCCATCCTGTAACTGGGCTCTCTTTGGGACTCCAGTCCTACCACACATTTGCAAACCTCAGCTGTCCCCTGTGATTTCTTCATGTCTTTAGCCTCGGTGACTCTTAAATTACAAAGTTTAGATGCCAGAGCAAGGTACATTTTTGTGTATAAAAGCATTGAAATGCAACTTTAATATTTTAAATCCTATTTTTTTTATAAATCTTGTTTTTAAGACAGGACATGAATCATCATATAAAAGTCTATTTCGATCCAAAATATGTTGGAGATCTGTTGCTGCCTCCTAGGTAGGCCCATTCCATGTGACCACCTTTAATGAAGATGGTGATGATATCATATGACATCTATCTTTTCTAACTTTAGCAAAATGGCAACCAGCCATGTGGCTGACTGAAAGCAGTGGCAATCCAAATTTCAGTCATGTCATGTTGTTCCTTTAAAATTGCTCATGTATAGATTTTTAATTATCGACTTCCAGTCTTACTAGTTTTAACTTTTTAACTAGTTTTAACTTTAACAGATCTTTAACCATATCTAACAAGATAAATTTATAAATTTTAAAGTAGAGAATGCTCATATAAACTAAATCTAATTTTTTTGACTGTTCTGGTTTGGTTTTCCCCCCGTCACTGTGTCAGGAGCTCAGACTGGCAGAACTACAAAGAGGGAGCTTTTAAACAAGCATGCCTGGGTCTAGTGAAGGAAGAGCCTTAAACACGCTCTAGAGGCAGCTTTTTAACAAAGAACAGCATAAAACAGTTTTAACATTATCCATATCAAAAAGACATCTGAACTCCTGCTATCCCAAATCCAGTGACCAGAGCTCAGAGACAAATTCTGAGCCACGTCCATAAATGGGACCATGGCAGCAGTGGGTGGTGACTGTCTGCTGTCGGCAGCAGAGACAGCAAAACTAGCCAAACCATTTCTGTTTCGGCTCCACGCTTGCAATGAAACTCAGAAATACACCAGAAAATACAGGCGAAACTTTTCAACAACTTTCTTGAGAAATAGAAAAAAACTTTTAAGCAAGGCAAACAAAACTTCTTAACGAGAATTAACTTACTAGGGTGAAATTTTTAACTTATTTTACAGATTCCTTTTAAATTCAGTATGTGCAGATATGAGAAACCACAGCAAGCATAGTTCACACCCCCTCTGACCTTTCATAATTTCTATATGCCTTTAGTTCATTCCTCTGACTCCTCAGACATTTTTACTTTTTACACGTCTACAATTTTACAAATTTCTCTTTCCCTTTTCCTTTCTTTCTTATTCCAAGTCTCCTTCCTCCTCTCTCACTTTCCAGACAACATAAAAACTTTTACCAAAATCTTTCTAGTGGTTTCCCTCAGTAGTCTGGAATATATTGCATGGCTACAATATTTTAAACATGAAAATACCATCACAACAATAACTCTAAATTTGCATCAACACATAAAAACCTGTACCAGCACGAAACATCTGAGACTAGCAGTAGTTCTTTCTTTGCCATAACCAATAACAACAACAAAAAAAAACTCCTCTAAATGACGGCAGATATTTATAACCCATTGGATCTGAATGACCAAAGCAGCCATGATGGAGGGAAGTATCCAGCAGTAACAGGCTGTTCCACTGTAGCCTTGACTACAGCGTCACAGCACAACCACTTAGCAGGATATAGGTAGTGACTCCCCACCCTCAGCCTGTGGAGGAACCAAAGCTTGGTTAGTTTTGGCCAGAAGTCAAGGTGGATGCCCCCCAGAGCAGGCTGAGGAAACCCCATCCACCAGCATGGAAGAAGGTAACATGCAGCATGGAGGCAGAGGATTGTTAACTTCTCTGGTCATGACAATTAACCCCAGATTCTCTGTTCAGCATTTGAAATCCTATTGGGGCACACCTGCCCCTTGCAAACTGATTGACAGCCTTGCTGCATTATCACAACAAGGCTGCATAGCCCAGCCATCCTGCCCACATGAGTGTGCTTCCCCAAAACCCTGCCCATGCTTGTAAGACATGCCAGGGCAAGTCTGACCCTGCCCGCCCGTGTTGCCTGCACACTACAGGCTGAGAGCAACAGAGGTAGGCTGCCTCTTTTCATTGAAATGTTCAAGATGGGTAAAGGTTGTTTGCCTCATCCCTTTCAGGAAAACATACCCCTTTTTAAGTCTCAAACCCCACGCCTATGGCCCTATCTCTAAAGTCCTGAAAATGATCCAACATCAAAACCAAAAGAGTCGGGTTTTGAGCCTGTCCCATTATACCAGTCTTATAAGTCAGAAAGAGGACAAACAGAAGACAAAAACAAAAAGACAGTACAATAGAGTCCTCCTGGTGTCTGCAGCCAAAACTAAACTGAAGATGCTGGATTCATCCTGGAATGCAGGAGAGACCGTTCTTTCTTTCTACAGAAACCAGAGAAACCCAATTCCATACAGAAGGGTCCTGGGACCCAAATACAGAAAACAGAGGGATCCGATCCCGTACAGAATGGCCCAGAAATGTCTTCTCAGGTACCCCTCCTGTGGCCCTCTCACACGTCCACTTGGACCATCCAGAGGCTCTTTCAGATTCTGGAACCACTTACAGAAGGACTAACTAGAAAGACATAATTGAAACATAAACACAGAAAACTAGGCCAGCTGAAGGCTCTATAGGGCAGTGGTCCTGGTGGGCTTGGAGATCTCAGACAAGCTCCCAAATAACATGCCCAGATCATGGAGTCCCCCAAAGATCACCGAAGAGTCCAAATCCATATGCAAAGGCAAAGAGTCTTTATTTTAAGTTCGAGCTTGATCTCTTCATCTGTCTGAAGCAGTTGTGAGAGCAGAGGGCCACAAGCCCAGCTGGGGTGGAGTTTTTATCATAGCAGAGGTTGGGGTGAGGGCATTTCAAAGGTTCAGGACCTCTGATTGGCTGGCATTTGTCTAGAAGTGTCTCGGTGAAGGAGGATGGAGGTATGTTGGGTTAAGGGACATCTGGTGAGCCTATCAAAAATGGTTGGAATGTTAGGTATTTCCTTTGGAACATTATTTTTCCTTTGGATGGTCCATCTCTGGGTGTTGCCTGGGTGGTCTCAGTTGGTGGTCTTTCCTGGAACCAGGTATTGTCTTAGGGCAAACTGGAACTCAGGCCTACTCTTTGACTGGCTGGTCTCTATCAAGCCTCTCATGGCTGGGCCTGACAGTTACAGTTACAGATATGAAGATATATTACAAGCCAAAGTAATAAAAGCAATATGACACCAGCATAAAATATATACATAGACCAACAGAACAAAACTGAAAACCAAACATGTACCTTCAACCATTTAATATTTAACAAAGATTCCCAAAACGTGTTGGAGAAAAGAAGACA